AAAAGTACAATTGCAGGGTATTTTTATTAAGCACATAAATATGTAAATGTATTTGTAGTATACGTAGCATGAAATAAATGTATTTCAAATATATTTTAGTATTTTTTTTTAGGGAAGGTTAGATTATTCATCCAGGGTTAGGTGATAATATTACCATGATCAACACACAGAAACGTAACAAGGACATTGGTAAAATAGTCCATATGGTTCAATCGTAATTTTACGAAGCTACGAGAATACTTTTTGTGCGCAAAGAAAACTTATTCAACAATTCTTCTCCCCGAGTTACCGTCTTTTGCCATTTTGGAGAGTAGGCTACCCCAGAACATAATCAACATAATGAGCATTGTTTATGGTCAGCATGCGCACGCTGTCTACTGAATGTAAACAACGCTGATTACATTCTGGGGTACTCTCCAAAATGGCGGAAGACGGTAACTCTGGGGAGAAGAATTGCTGAATAAATTGTTATTATTGTTTTCTTTGCACACAAAAAGTATTCTCGTAGCTTCGTAAAATTACGGTTGAACCCCTGATGTCACATGGACTATTTTACCGATCTCCTTGCTACGTTTCTGTGCGTTGATCGTTGTAATTACATTGCTGTCTATGGAGGGTCAGAGAGCTCTCAGATTTCATCAAAAATATCTTAATTTGTGTTCCGAAGATGAACGAAGATCTTACGGGTTTGGAACGACATGAGGGTGAGTAATTAATGACAGAATTTTCATTTTTGGGTGAACTATCGCTTTAATAAAACACAATCTAATAGGTAGAAAATGAAATTCCATTGTTAGTTTCTGGTCGGAGCTGTATCCCTTCTATACACATCCGTTATGTAGGCAGGGTTGGATGTAAAGGAGGGGTTAGATATGGTGATGATGGTGGTAAAGTGGGCCGGGCCTCGCGCAGCTGAGTCCCATCTGACGCTCGGGTGAGCGCATTTAACATGATTGATCCGCTAATAGGACAGAAGAGCAGACGCACAACTTCAGCTTTAAATCTACCCACGGTTCCTCTTTCCTCGTTTTTTTTCCACTTCAACTCAAACGAGCTTGATGTGAGCCAGGAGGGGAAAAAACTCCAAAAATCACCTCCTTTCCCTTCTGTCACCCGCACAGAGCACCTCTCACCTTTACTTTCGGATTGTGGCTTTAACTCACGGCTTCACTGGGCACAAACGACACCAGATTCTCTTCTGCAACTTTAACGCACACCAGGGACAAAATCACCGACAGGGAAACAGTTTTTTTAATTTTTCTGGCACAAAGAAGCGTTAAAGTTACACAATGAGTCTGAAGTCAGATTCAGAGACGAACACCAGTGTTTCATTAGAGGAGGAGGTAAGAGAAATAAACTCTTTTGGTAAACAAACTTCATTTAGTGAAGTTCAAGTCTCTGACGGCGGATGACTGTGGAAAACTGTTTTGGCGTTTGACATTACGATTAAAACTCGTGTGAGGCGTTTGAGGAAAAGAGTTTGGTGTGGAAAAGCTTCGAGAGGAATGTGGAGTCTGTTGATGATTAATCTTAAAGTTGGCATTGAAATATGACTCACCTGATGTGAGACACACTCTCGTGTGACTGTGGAAAAAGTTTAAAGCCAGATTTAACAAGAAAATGTTTCGGTGGGTGTTCTTGTAAACTTTTTTTTTTTTTTTTTTTCTCTCCAAGTTTTTCATTCTCATGGTTGCGTTAAAGACGCGCAAACAGTGACGTACTGAACGTGGGTCTGCAAGAGATGGTTATTACATTTTTATTTTTTTTTAAATGTTAACTTTTAGTGTTTTTTTTTTTTTTATATTTTTTTATTTTATTTTTCAATGTGGGTCAAAAGTATTGTCGGTGTTTTTGGGTTTAGTTTATATGCATACATGCATACAAAAAAAATATTCCTAAAAATATTAATTTGCATAGACTCGTAAGTATTTTTTATTTTTTTCTAAACCGCAATTTTTTGGTATTTGTGACATCCATTGTGGATGTCATCTCTGACTTATTGAAGCGTTGTTTTAATTTAGAGTTTGATTAATTTTAACTTCAGATGCAACAAGACAGCTATTTAATTGTGTAAATAGAATTCTAATTAAATTGTGTTTTTTGTTATTATTAATAATAATAATAATAATAATAATAATAATAATAATAATAATAATAATAATAATAATAATAATAATAATAATTTATGCATTTGTTTTTTTTGTTTTTGTGCGGCTTATCTTTAATTTAGCCTTTTAATTTAAAATGAGTATTCCAGCAGTTGCAGTAAATTGAGTGAAAGAAACAAATGAATCTATATAGAAGCCTTTCTTCTATATAGGCCTTAAGTCTTATTTTTAGCAATATTCTACACTAGTTTCTCTGCTCTTAAGTGTAGATGTCACCTCTGACCTCTTGTAGAGGCATTTCCTGCAGTTCAGTGTATTATTTTACTGGCTTAAGACCTTACAAGGCAGTTTGCAAACGCTCCTGTCAGAACACATCAGACTTGAGCAGGTTTTTTACATTAAAGCGAGAAGTTAGTGAGGATCATTGTGTAAATGGTGCAGTTTGAGTTGAGTGGATGGGGTGGGAGTTGTGTCCTGTCATTGTTACCGGGCAGCACTGGGTCAGAGCGTTTGGTGTGGCCTGTTCGGATTGTTCATTGTGTTCAACCTGCAATAATTAGGACAGGGGTTTCCTCCCTCTGTGCCTTGAACCGGTCGCTCACATCCCCAAACATGCCCTTTGTTTCTGTCCTGCTAAACCTGCATCCCGTTTTTCTGACCGCCGACAGAATCAACTGTTTATTTAGGTTATTAAGTGGCACATTGTCCATTATTTGTGTTTGTGGAGTGTTTATTCCTTTTTGATTAAATTCCTGTTGTTGATTTACCCTCTCAGCTGCTGTCAGCGCTTGAGCACTGCACTCGTGTTTCAGGAACACTGAGGATAACCAGAAAGTTTCTGCTGAGGGGTTTTAAACTGACACGAGTCTGAACTCTGCGACTGCTTTCCCCTGCAGCCGTTCCGCCGCTCGCTCCTCTGAGCCACTCAGGAAATGACGGGATTGATGTACTGATGTATTGGTGGAAATGATGTGTAGAAATCTAAGTGATGGACGTTTGTCCAGTTATACACTCATGATTGGCTGTTTTAGCGCTTCAATGACCCGACACATTATTTTTAGTGGTGGTACCACGTATTTTGTGCACTGTGGTGTTCAATTCTTGTACCATGGCATTTGATACTTCAAAGAATACCATGACACAAAAAAATTGTTGTTTTGACATTTTTAGCACAGAATTAAAAATGACTCCTACTTATGAGCATGTCTGGGTCATATAAAAAATGTGAAATTTTACATTATAAAAATCCTTATTAATTAAAAACTGCCTTTTTTTGCGTTGTGACATTTTCATAGTTTCGCCTTCTCCTCCGCCTTCTCCTCCTCCTCCTTCTCCTCCTCCTCCTCCTTCTCCTCCTCCTCCTTCTTCTCCTTCTCCTTCTCCTTCTCCTTCTTCTCCTCCTCCTCCTCCTTCTCCAGGAAAAAAGTGCTGTTTCACTGAAAATCTGCACTGAGAATAATTGTTGTTGATTATTATTATTATTATTATTATTATTATTATTATTATTATACAGGACCAATGACTGTTTTATTGACAATCTTTACTGAGATAATAGGAATTGTGGAACTCGGTGGAAATTAATGATGTTTTTTTTAATTCTATGGGAGGGATAAATTATGGTTTCATTAACTGCACCAATATAATAGGAATTACAAAACGGGAGAATTTAATTCTTATACATTTTAACTCTAATACAGGACAAACTTCTATACTTTGAGAATCTGCATTAAAAATATGAAGAATAAAATGAATTGCGTAATTAAAGAATGCAGGATAAAACTGGCCAAACAGTGTTTGAGAAAATTGTTAATATCACAATAAGGAAGGGGAACAAAAGAGCCTTTTTTTTTTTTTTTTGATTAAACTATATTTTTAAAAATCTTGTTTCTTTTAGTTCTGTGGTAAAATGTGAGCTGGACATTGTTTTTTGTGAGGTTCACCCAAAACCCAGGGTCTTTCAGATTACGGTTGTTCACCTCTGAAGCGTTTGGAGAATGTGGTTGGTTAGGATGAACCAAAGTTCTCTCTTCCTTTTCCGTAAAAGGTCATAGCACACTGTGTCCTTCCTCCAATCTTTCTCTTCTCCCCTCTAGATCTGTATAGAGTTGCTACATCTGTTTTTAAATGCTCACTGCTTTTTGAGTAACTCTAGAAGCTGTGATACTTAATTTGTTGGATAAAACGTGTCGAGTTTTCCAAGGTCGAGTGTCGGTTTTCTGTTCATTCTTCAATTATTTATTTATTTATTTTTTTTTATTTGATCGGCCTTTGCTCTCTCTGTTCACTGTAATATCATTTGATCCATCCTGTTAATTTGTCGAGTTAAATGAGATTTTCCACCTTCCACTCACATTGGAGCAATAATGCTGTCCGCGCCCTGCAGAAGTTTCTGCATCCATGCTTCGGGTCACACACACCTGATCACCACGCACACACTTCTGCTCACTAAACTAACATGATCTCATGATTTTGATCTGAACTAATTCAGTCTCTGATAGCAAATGCTGCAGACAAACGGGGAGACTCTGACACAATAGGAAGGGACAGAGACAGTCCAAGGTAGCTCTAAATCGTTCCTATTTTTCTCCTTTTCAGGTGCACATTTATAAGACCATACATGGCACTCATTAGGTCAGAGGTCACTGCATTTTGTGTCATTTGTTTGCTGATGTCATTTAGGCATTTCCCTGTTCTAGGTACGAACGCTATTTGTCAGCGGGCTGCCTGTCGACATCAAACCACGTGAGCTTTACCTGCTGTTCAGACCCTTCAAGGTAAGAGACATCAGCCGAAATAAAAAAAAAAAAGCTGGGAGTTTTGTTAGTCCACATTTTTCTGGATGTGGTGATTTGATTTAAAAAAAATTGATTGGAGTTCAATTTTTCTTTAGTTTAATTTGTCCTTTTTATTAAACAGGGATATGAAGGATCTCTCATAAAACTGACCTCAAAACAGGTAAAGTTGAATTTCCTTTTAGAGTGATGATGATGATGATGATTACTCCCAATTTAAAGACCACACAGATGGATTAATCTAACAAATGTCCGGTTCATATTTAAATTTACACTTTTTTTTTTTTTACCATTTTATTATACTCAATAATAGTAATAATAATAATAATAGAGTATAATTATTTTATTTCTCTCTCTGTGTTAGGTGTATCATCTACATCTATTTATATTTATATATATATATTTTGCGCGCGCATATATATATTTTGGCGAAAATGTGTATGTAATAGGAGACCGTTAAAAAACATTTTATCACATGTAATATGTATGCGAAAAAGAAAAAAAAAACTTTCATATGAAGAAATAAAATGAGACCGTTAAAGGCTATTTTTATTACATGTAATGTGGCAAAGAAACTTAAACCTATATATAAAGATACTTTTTTTTAATTCTTTTTTTTTTAACTAATTTCTTTATTGTTTCGGGGTTCTTTATTTGTCGGGTATTACATATGATATTTTTTTAGCACATGTATATAATATACTTGTAATTTAACTTGTACTTTCATTTGAATTAATATTTAATAAAGCTCATCAATATTAATTAATTAAAAAAAAGTTAATTGTTTTGATTTTGGGGTGAAATAGTACATTCTTAACAATTTTATTTTAAGAGATTTTTCTGCTTTTTAGTTGCATTTCTGTCTGTGTTTGTCCATCTGATGTGTTTCTTTCCATTCTCTAGCCTGTGGGGTTTGTCACGTTTGACAGCCGGTCTGGGGCTGAAGCGGCCAAGAATGCTTTGAACGTAAGTAATGTGGTCCGTCAGTAAGCTGAAGTGATGGCAACTTTTAATTATTCATAAAACTGCCTGTGCTTTGTCCTCCAAACTTTGCTCTTAAAAGTCTGACTCGGATGCTGCTCTCCTCTCTTCGGGGGCGAAGTTTCACTTGGTCCCTAAGAAAAGTTCCATGATGTCATGCGTTTCATGCACGTACTTTGGGAATCAGTGCACTTGTGCTGCTGTTCTGTTTATGGACGTGTTGATTGATTTGTGTGTTGTATGAAGAATAATTAGACTCGATTCAGTTGAAAACGTCAACCCTACCTCATCTGTTCTCAGGGTATCCGCTTTGACCCAGAGAGCCCTCAAACGCTGCGTCTGGAGTTTGCTAAAGCCAACACGAAGATGGCGAAGAGTAAACTGATGGCCACGCCAAACCCTTCCAACCTGCACCCAGCTCTAGGTGCGCACTTCATCGCTAGAGACCCATGTGAGTAAAACTGTGGGCTTAAGCCCCGTCCACACCGCAGAACATGATGCTGTCCAGTAGTTCTTAGTTTGGGGTTAAAATACTTAATATTCAGGAATATTATCAATTTGAAGACATTGACCCTCAGGTGAGAACAAAGCATACACTAGTGTCATTATTCAGCTCACTTCAGTTTATTTTGTAGCTGCTTTATAGCTGAGTAAAATTTTCACATTTGATGAATTGAACTCATCTCAATTCAACTGAATTGAATCAACATTGAACTTAACTGAATAATGACCGTATTTCCATCTGTATAGCTGCTTATAGCTAAATTGAATTTATTTCATAATTGATAAACTACAGTTCTTAATCTGAACTGACTTGAGCTGAATAATGACACTATTGTCTTTTTAGAGCTGCAGATTTTGGGTTGGTCTCATATTTGAATGTTTGCTTTGCATCATTGATTGTTACTTTCCTGTTTATTACTGTGAAGCTGCTTTGAAACAATGTCTGTTGTGTAAAGCGCTATTAAAAAGTTGACTTGCTGTAAGTGGTGATTCATCTTCCTAGCGTTTGGTTCCGTGTGTGATGCTCAGATGTGTGTGTGATTCTGTAGATGACCTGACGGGCGCAGCACTGATCCCTGCGTCTCCTGAGGCGTGGGCTCCGTATCCCCTCTACACCACTGAACTGACCCCAGGCCTGCCTCACGCCGCCTTCACCTACCCCGCTGCTGCTGCTGCTGCCGCAGCCCTGCACGCCCAGGTGAGGGATCAACCGGTGTGTGCCCTCTCTTCCTTCACTCTGTCACGGTCTCTCTGCTTTTTCTGTCCAGTGTGACGTCGCCAGAGCTCGTTGATCCTTACTTCCGTTAGTTTGTACAGGAAGCACATTCTGTGGTTGTGAATTTGTAGCATTCATAATTCTAAATGAGTCGCTAACTCCATATCAACATAAATGTTGAAAGAAAGCCCTTTCACGTCAGTTCTATTGCTTTGCGTAAGGGATTGTGGGTAAAGCCCAAGGGTTTTTTTTTATTTTTTTTTTGGGTTTTGATCTTATTTTAATTGAATTTTTTTTCTTTAGAATTTAATTTGGCTTTACAGAAATAAACAATACACTTAAATATTTTAAATGTGTGTATTTATACATTTTTAATTTATTAAATTAAAATTATTTAGAATCTTTATTTTGAATCTTATGAATTTGATTTTGTATTGTAGATGTTTAATGCAATCTCTTGAATTTTTCTTACATTTAGAAGATATTTACTTGTAATTATATAATAATAATAATAATTATATATATATATATATATATATAAATTCATTCTGGCACTCTCACACACTTGCATTCTCCTTTCACATACATTTCTACTCTCTCACACGCAGACGTTCTTTTACATGCATACATTTTTACCTTTTTTGGTATCCATTACTTCCTGTTTAAGCAGGAAGTCACTCTCAGACCAGAATATACATGTGCAAGACGTGCTCCGTACTTCCTCACAATTTTACAATGATGCTATTCAAAGTCATCCTGTTTTCTTTTCAAGTACATATTTTAAGTTTTTAATTTTAAAATATCATTATGTACACAGATCTGTAGAACACACAGGTTACAAGTGTTATGATACTGGTTTTTCATTCTGGCACTCTCACACACTTGCATTCTCCTTTCACATACATTTCTACTCTCTCACACGCAGACGTTCTTTTACATGCATACATTTTTACCTTTTTTGGTATCCATTACTTCCTGTTTAAGCAGGAAGTCACTCTCAGACCAGAATATACATGTGCAAGACGTGCTCCGTACTTCCTCACAATTTCACAAGGATGCGCTCTGTTACTGGCCAAACTAACCTTGAACAAACAAATATATGCAACATGAAGCAACTGCACAAAACAAAAACATCAGAAGGGCTGAATTAATATTTTATTGCTCATATTTTTTTTTTCCCTTTATTATTATTATTTATTATTATTAGTGTTTTATTACCTTAAATATATGTAGCCTATGTCTGCACTATGACTGGAAGCTGTACTGGAAGCTCCTGACACCAAGACGAATTCCGTGTGTGTGTGTATAAACACTTGGCAATAAAGCTCTTTCTGATTCTGATGAAAATGCAAATTCAATCTCTGAAACCAGGTGATAGAGGCTCTTTACACTTAGTGAAAATAGCAGTATTTTTTAGTGATATCATATGCTATTTACTCTAAGTGCAAATAGCTATAGATTATATTTAGCCTATAGCCTACTATGTTAATATAGCAGGGTATTCTGCTAATTACTTATTACAAATAGTGGCAATTATCTGCACCTCAGCATTGTAATGCATTATAAAATGGTATGCAATAATAACTTGAGTGTAAATTTTAATTTAAATTATTAAATGGATGCCACTATTGGGACAAAAGCCCTCCCTACACCTACCCTAACCCTACCCGATACTTTATTTTCAACTTTTTCATTTTTATTAAAAATAAATGCTTTTCTGATGTTATTTGAAAAGGGAGAAAAAAAAAGTTCGGCAAAAGGCAGATTCGAACCTGGGTCGATCACGTCAAAAGAAGTATGATACAAACTTTAACATCTGCGCCACTGAATTTGACAATTGCTAATTGTCTTTTGTAATGACTAGCCCAATCGCACGTTGATGGGTGGAATTAGTGTAAGCCTCTACCAACAAGGTGGGCTATTTGCACTTAGTGTAAATAGACACTCCGATTTTTTTATTTTTTTTATATTATTCCCAACAGTTAAAGTTGCCCACAGAAAAAACGGGGTGCTGCTGCAGCACCCAGCACACACACTTCCCGTGCCTATGCTGTCTGGTACAGTATTCTCTGCTTGCACGACTATTCTCTCCTCTTTGTGTCCGTCGTCTTATTCTTACAGATAATATATCATGATGATCATTACGTTACCAAATTGCATCCTGTCAGGAATAACCTGCCCTCGCTGTTTTTAACCTGGTCGTTTTTTTTATATATGTATATGTGTGTGTGTACGCACGTACGTATACACGCGCATATATATATATATATATATATATATATATATATATTATACACATTATACACACAGCCGTTCAAAAGTTTGGGATCAGTATGATTTTTAATGGAGTCTCTTGTGCTCCTTGAAATCATTCTAATATGCTGATTTATTATCAGTGCTGGAAACTGTTGTGCTGCTTCATGCGTGTGTTGTTTTTTTGTTTGTTTGTTTTTTTTAAACGCTTTTTCTTCTGGCTTTTATGAATTAAAGTTAAGAACAGCATTCATTTAAAATTTAAAATCTTTTCTAACAATACGAGTCTTTACTATCACTTTTTATCCATTTAACACATCCTTGCTGAATAGAAGTATTCATTACTTTCAAAAAAAGAAATTTACTTACTCCAGACTTTTGAACGTGTCTGTGTGTATATTTTCATAAAAGAATCCTGAAAAAAGTATCACAGGTGCCAAAACACATGACCTGGAGTAATGATGCTGAAAAATCAGCTTTGATCACAGGAATAAATTACATGTTGAAGTATATTAAAATAGAGACTTTTTTTAAAAATTGCAATATTTCACAAAACAACAGTTTTTTTTTTTTTCTTTTTTTTCTGTACTTTTGATCAAATGAATACAGCCTTGATGAGCACAAGAAACTTCGGTAAAAAAAAACTTACTGATCCCAAACTTTTAAACACGTATGTATTTATATTAAGTGCTGGGCAACGATTAATCGCATCCAAAATAAGTTTTTGTTTACATATGTATGTGTATTGTATGTATATATTTATAATATAAATTATATATTTATATTATATATAAATTATGAATATAATTATATACATGTAAATATTTTCTAAATGTATACTGTATGGGTTTCTTTATATATACACATAATAAATATATGCAGTACACACACATTATGTACACAAACTTTTATTTTGGATGCTATTAATTGCAATTCATGGTTACCGTGTGTGTGTGGTATGATATGCAATTTTACACCATAAGTTTTGTGTACTGCACTGTTTCACAAAAATAACATGAGCCTTCATTTCAGTGGCTTGTAGTTCAGTATGCTAACTTTCCCATAATGCACTTGACACGCTCTGGTTAAAACTGGTTTAGCTGCGTCAAGTTGACCCATGGTCAGAGGAGGTGTCAGGGGTCCACTCTGAATATGACCGGTCTGATTACCCAGAATCCCTTTAGAACAGCATTCCTTGACCTGCTAGCGTTGCTGCGAGATCACATCAGAGAAAGCTGTTTTTAATTGCATCGTCGTTGAGTGAATCTGTGCCCAGGGAGGTGCCGGTTAAAGTTTAGCCAAAAAATGGTGTGTGAGCGTTTTTATGATCCATTAAAAGCGGCACATGTTAAAATTCTCCCCCACAAATGCTTTGCCTTGTAGGTTTAAATGGGTAAAAATGAATATTAAAGTGTTTTATGCTCCTCTGGTGATAATGTCATGGTTTATTGTCAGTCTTGCATTGCTAGCTTGAGTTTAATGAAATGTGATTGGTTTTGAAGACTGTGCTGACAGATCAAGTTTATTGATTGGATGGCTAGACTTTGTAGTTGTCATAGCAACACAGTGAGAGCTAAAGGTCATGGATGAAGAGGTTTTACTTCAGTCTCTTGAGACGTACTGCATGTTCACAGGTTCATCAAGCCTTAAATTCAGCTTGTTTGCAATTTTAAGTGTAAGAGAATAAGACTTTATCCAAACAAATTGGAGAGGGAAAGAGAACTGATCCAAACAAATGTTTTACAATCCTGTTTGGAATGGCTGGTTAAGGTTGTAGTGTTTTTTTTCAGGATCGTAAAAGGTTTCATCCTCTGGGTGAGGAGCAGCGAGTGCTAATGGATCCACACGCTAACATTCTCTGCCCAGTGTCACTCTGAGCGGCTTCAGAGAGTTCAACGATCATTTTGAATTTTCCAAAGAATAAATGGATTTTTAATTTTAGTATAATTTATTATTGTTTGTTTTGATATATGATTGTAGTAATAGTTGTTGCAATGGAGGAAAAAATATAAATGAATGAATGTAAATGTACAAAAACGATATACCAGGTTTTGTTTGTGTTGGTTGTTCATGTTTATTTACATATATCCACAAATATTTTATATGGTGTATATACACATTCTACTTCATTTAGATAAATTATGCATTTAAAATAATAATATTATATATGAAATTGTGCAAAACTATATTTAACCTTTTCCCCTCTGTACAAAATATTGTTACATAAAGTCTCCATTATAAAGTACTATTGTCTTGTAAAAACAGAAGGCATACATTTTTATATAAAAAGCTGATAATTTCCTGCTTTTCATAAAATGTGTTTTTATATTCTGTATCCTCCTGACTACCAGGGGAAAAAGTTATGAATTTAGTAAAAAAAAAAAATTGTTTCATAACTTAGTTTAGAGCATAAAAATATCATTTTTGAAATGTTAAACTGTGACATGTAAGGTCACAGAGACATTTGTTAAAATGTAATGTCCTCTGTAGAGGACAAAACTCCATAGCTGGGAGTCGGGAGGACATTAAACTAATAATAACAATGATGCTCTGTATAAAGGTCCTAATCAAATATGAAGAACTTCTAGCCGTCCTGCATGATTTGGCTCAAGGAAATGGTCGTGGAATTCCTTTGGCATGTTTGCATGTAGCTGGGATGACGCAACTATAAGTCTGCAGTCAAACTGCTGGAAGAACCGAGCTCTTGGCTTTCTCTTACTCCACCTTATCCAGAGCTTTCCAACACACACCTGCAGAGTGAGATTACACAGCCTGCGCTCTGCTGGTCAAACCGCTCGACGCCGTGGGAAGCTCGGCGTGAAGGGCTGAAACGGACGTGCCAGGCTGATTGTTGTCGTTCTCTTGCCCTTGGCTGGGGAAGTGGGGGTTTTGGTGTGGTTTGGGAAGGCAGGATGGGAAAGGAGTTAATGTCATCTTGCTGAAAGATGTTTATAGATGCACTGATAAGAGTTTCCTGGTCAGTCAGGTCATTAGCACAGCTCAAACCGGAGCCTGTTGTAGAAATTGCTCTCTTTCTGGTTCTTTTTTGTTTGTCTGTTGTTGCCCCCTACAGTTTTAAGCCTTTTTACACCGTCTTAAAGGTTTGTGAGTGGTTCTTAAATGCCTCTTGGCAGCAACTTTTAGTTTTAGTTGACTTTGTGGTTCTTTTGGGATGTTTAAATTGTTCTGAATGTTAAGCTTGTTTGTTTTAGTTTTATACAGAATAGAAGTATTCATTTATTAATATTGGTATTTATGAGTATAAAGTAGTTTACTGTAGAATAAACATTTGATATAAACTGTAAATAAAAATGTAACTTTTTTTGTATAAATTAGAATGTTGATTATTATAGAATTAAAAACGTATTATCTTGTATTTTTTATGCGTTTTCTTTTATATAAATGTAGAAATGCATTACTTATTTATATTTTATATTGACTTTTTTAATGTTGTTACATTTCAATTTCTTTTTAATAAAACAAGGTAAATATATTTCTTTATATACAACATGCAAGTGATACTTTTAAGAAACAAGATACTTTTAGAAATGTAAATTTGATATTATTATTATTATTATTATTATTATTATAATAATTATATACAAAATTCATTTAAAAAAAATTCTTTACATAAGACTATGCAAATAAAATGTAGTGATGAAGTATTTATAAATGTTAGAAAAATATGAACGTAGTTTTATTATAATATAGATTATACATTTTAATGTTAATTTTTCTTTAAAACAATGCAAATGAAATGTAGTAATGCAGTGTTTATATACATCTATATACATGTGGTGTTACATTTAATAACTAAATTTAATATAATAATAATAATAATAATAATAATAGAAATAATCATACTTATTATTATTATTATTATTATTATTATTATTATTATTATTATTATTTGTGGTCCATTATGTCATGTTGGTCAAGGAGAAGCTTTTGAAATATCAATTTCTCTTGTTCATGTTGTCTGTAGATGCGCTGGTACCCTTCTCCCTCTGAAAGTTCTCAACCGGGCTGGAAGTCACGCCAGTTCTGTTAAATAATCAGTGAGTATCGCTTACTTCACCTCCTGCTTATGCTCACTACTTGATTGTACTCTATGGTTGTAGATGACCGTAAGCTGATGCGCTGTTCTCGTCTCCACAGATGCCATTCATTACCAGACGTTTTGTTTTTGTTTCTCCCTCCTGTTTAAATGAAGGACAACTGGGCTCAGCTTTTAATTTAATCAGATTTATTTAATGGACAATCTAAGCATGAAGGATTGTTTTCCTGGAGGAAGTCTTCTACAAAGCACTCTGAGATGCTGAGGACTCTGACAAACCTCATGGTACTGTCTCCGTTTCCAGAGCTGCGCTTGACGAGCCAATCAGGCGCAGGCGTTCAACATGTCTAGCTGCTCTGATAGATGTTTGTTTTTGAGGTCATCATCCTGCATGCGATAAGGCATGAGTTTTAGAATTCAAACCTTTTCTTTTCCGTCCCAGCCGACCCTAAATGTTTTCAATCTCTTGTTTTTGCAGTTTCTTTGATTTTGTGTGAAAGGTGGAGACCTGACTTTTGATCCTTTTTTTTTTTTTTAT